GCTACACAAGGTCACAAGAGGACCAGGAGCATTAACAAGATACCTGGCAGCCAAAACCGTGTTATACCTCTAAAATCACCAAGCCCAAATATCAGCCTAAGACATACTGTATTACCAAAAACAGCCAAGAAGGCAGCATAACTGGGAACATCATGAGCATAAGGGTAAAGCACAGGCTGGCTACCTTTAATGACACTGCAGACAACCTGAGAAACATGAGCTCTGGAACAGGGAACCAGAGAAACGATCAACCCACAAAGAGCCCACCAAAACAGAACCTGTGGCTCAAAGGTGGCAGTGCAAAGCCGCCGGACAAAGTACATGATGCACCCTCGGCTGAACCAAGCCTCCACAACCAAAGGTCCCCCCTCCTTGGAAGCCTGGGTGTTTCATTCTTTGCCAGAAATGAAGGAGCAGGCTGCAACCAAACAAAATGACCCTCAGAACCAAATGAACAAAAACCCTGGTGCCAAAGCAAGCAAAAATAAAGCCTTCCAAAAACAATCCCTGACCAAAGGGGCCACAGTAAAACAAGCAGAAGAAAGAACAGAAAGAACTTGGCAGGCTGAGGCGGCACATGAGCAGGCCGGAGGTGAAACAAAGGGCAAGAAAGCTCCACCAACGCTGCACGGCAAGAAACGAGATAGGAAAAAGAAATAAGCCAGAAGAAAGAAAAAGATAGGCATAAGATCCCTATCAAGGAAGAGCCAAGCAAGAAAGGACAGAACAACCCAGTCTGAAAAAGAAGGAAAATGACGAAGGAGAGAAAATTACGAAAAGACAGTCGGAAAATGTTGGGAGCCGGTCGGCCAAGCGGACAGCACGCTGGACTTGTGATCCTGTGGTCCTGGGTTCGATCCCAGGCGCCGGCAAGAAACAATGGGCAGAGTTTTTCACCCTATGCCCCTGTTACCTAGCAGTAAAATAGGTACCTGGGTGTTAGTCAGCTGTCACAGGCTGTTTCCTGGGGGTGGAGGCCTGGTAGAGGACCGGGTCGTGGGGACACTAAAAAAGCCCTGAAATCATCTCAAGATAACCTCAAGGAAACTGCATGCTGTCACTGAAAAGAAGACCACAGGCCACCTGATCATAATACAAATGGTGATAAGTACACGTAAAAAATTCCAGACGTGTTACATGGAAAATTAGGCCAAACCAGTGAGGAATGTCTCCTGCTCAATCTTCTGAAAGAGGCAGAGCCATGGAAAGATGCCCGGGTTTAGACACTGAGTAAGCAGCGCCTGAAACCAAGGCTGGGCTGTCCACTAAGGAGCCAGAAGAATTACACTGTCCTTTTACGGCTCTGGCCATGACAGCACCCAGAGCAACAGCTGCACGGGAAAAGAGGTAAATGCACTGCCACTTCGACCAGTCAAGTTGAAAGGCATCCACAGGAAGGGCCTCATAGTCGGGGAAATGCGACACATAGAGGCAGACGCCGAGATAGTGTTCTCATGAAGAGGTTGCATGTCCAGGTGTCCGAACATCCAGCAAAGTCAGAGGAAGGAATCGGTGTTGACAATCCAATCCGTGGAAAGAGGAAGGAAGAGAGACAGACCGTCGGCCAAGATGTTGGACACTCCCTGAACATGATCAGCGCAGAGATGCAAACCTTGAGAACTCGGCAGAAGAGCTACCATGAAGTGACCATGAACACATCAAAGAGGGAGGTGGTGTCATGGCACCGAACCCCGAAAAACCTGAATAGGAAGCTGGTGATGCAACAACTGGTGCTGTGTTCATCCACATCCTTCCTGTGGATGAACACGGGTTAAAACCCAGCAATCGCGAGAGCAGCAAAGGGGGCTGCCCCGAAGGAACCATAACAGCCTCTGAATCCAAAACCTGCATAATAGGTAAACCAGAAGGGCGAAATTTAGACTCTCGCACAGTTGCTCAAGTATTCTCTGAGTAATCCAGGTCTCCCTCAACAGCAGCAGACTGCAGGACTACAGCCAGAGCAAGACTGCAGGAGACGGAGAAAGCAATACTGACCAAGAATCTCAAGTCAGGCTCAACCGGGTCTGAACCTGGGATGGAACCAGCTGGGACTTCATCCAGTTCACCAGGAACCTGAACCCGGCAAGCTGGGAAAGAACCAGATACCTGGCTAGCAGACTGGCTGGGTGCCCAAACCAGCCAATCGTCGAGGTAGGCTAATACCTTCAGACCTAACAAACGAAGACAGGCCACAATGACCCAAGTCAAGCACTTAAACTCACGTGGTGCCAGATTCAGCCCGAACGGAACCTCTGATGAATAGGGACATGCAAATAAGGGTCCTTGAGGTTCAGGGAAATCATCAAAGTCCCCAGCTTCTTGAGGTCATCTTGAGTATGAGACGTACCAAATCTACACAGTAAAATAACAACGTACTGGAGTGAACGACATGGAAGAAAATGTAGAATAGAACCAATGAAGAGCAGAGGTGCCATAGGCACAATCAGAGAACACTGTATAAACATCAGAGGTCCGCGGTTGTTCAACGTCCTCCCAGCAAGCATAAGAAATATTGCCGGAACAACCGTGGACATTTTCAAGAGGAAACTAGATTTATTCCTCCAAGGAGTGCCGGACCAACCGGGCTGTGGTGGGTATGTGGGCCTGCGGGCCGCTCCAAGCAACAGCCTGGTGGACCAAACTCTCACAAGTCGAGCCTGGCCTCAGGCCGGGCTTGGGGAGTAGAAGAACTCCCAGAACCCCATCAACCCCATCAACCAGTAGTCATTTGAAAAGAGTGGCAATGAATCAACCAGTTCAGGTGGGACAAATCCAGAAGGTATTGGAGATCAGCGCAATCTCGTTTTGGATTGCCCATTTTGGACTGTCCCATCAGACCCGAATCCCCTCCTTCGGGGAGTTTGGGTCTGATGGGGTAGGCCTCTTATCCTTCCCTCCATCTAGTCATCTTGGAGTGGGTGCGTTTGGGCGTGGTCGAAACGACCTCGTCTCTTCGGTGGGGTTTCCTGCTTTTTCAATGCCAATGCCCAACACGTTATGGATCAGCCCAATGCCATCACAGATCACTCCCCACAACCCGAAATGCCCACACATTGTGGGACCAGGCACAGACAAATAGAGCCAGCCCCTCCCAACCGCCCAATCAAAGGAGCGACCTGCAAAAGGGCAGAAGTGAACCACGGGATCCAGCCCTCCAGACACACCAAGCACGGCACATACCAGGTGAAGAAGCTGGGGGGACCACGTCAGACCCAGCTGCCGGCACCACAGACACCCCACCTCAACCAAAAACAGGCAAAGCCGTGGCCCTATCCCTCTGGGATGACCAACAAGGCTGCCCCTTTCCCCCCCAACACACCAAGTAAAAAATTGGGCAGCAACTCGCCAAAGCCATCGACAAAACTGAGCAACACAGTCCTCAGGCAAAAGCAAAGGACAAAAGGGAGAAGCTGAAAGATGTCCATGTTGAGTCCAAAGGAAGAGCCAGCACAGCTTGCCGACACTTGAGATGGGAGGTAAAAAATAAGGATAACGCCTTCCAGAGGATTGGAGCATACTGCTTAAGCAAGTCAAAGCCACAGCCACTGCAACAAAAACCCCAGCAAGAGGCACCTCACCGAGCAACCCAACATCCTCTGCAAGCCAATCATAAGATAGTTCGTGGAGGCACAAGAACCGCATGACAGAAGTCAACTGTGTAAGAGTCCAAAAATTGTCAGCGACCAAGGCAGCCAAAAGAACAGGAATGTGAACGTGCAGCTGCACAAGACCAACATCATGGGGAAGGGTAGATATTAAGAAGAAACACAAATTGAGAGACTGAAGAGAGCCCCCCCAAGAAAAACCTGCAACACGGGAGACACCTCCCGCCAATCAAGCACACGGGTAGGGGAAACGCCGCGCCAAGCCCCCAGCGAAAACAAAGGACAGTCTACTAGCCAGGACGACTCTGAAACCTCAAAACGCACACAATGTGGAGAAGACCAGAACTCAAAAGAGGCTGAGTCCATGACAAAAGCATAAACTGGGTCATGCAAGAGTTAAGCACCAAGTGCCTCCAAAAGGGGAAACCCAGGAGGAAATGAACTCTGGATTAAGCCCCACCTAATTAAAGCTCATACAAGGAAGGGGGATAAGAAAATCCTATGACCTGCAACAAAAAATCCAAAGGACCCTCTACAGAAGGCAAAAGGGCCCACGAAGGGTCAAAAGTAGCCATAGAGCTCCAATCGAACTCCCCTTGAGCTCAGGGAACTGCAGGCAAGGGCCCTAGAGCAGAGCACACTTCCACACCCACAACCCGGAAAGGAAAGAGGGAGCCCATGGACTCGGGTAAAAGCTTTAAAATAGGGAGTTGGCTAGGAGGAATCAGAAGCTTCAGCAGGAAAGAGCGACTCAACTGCCTCCACGCTGTAATTGGATGGGGCAACCCCCAGATCAGTCAATGCCACATCCTGAGCTAAACCTTGCCCTGAATCCGAAATCCTCAAGATGCTTTGGAGCCGGATGCAGGAGGGTAGGAGAAGGGCAAACCAAGACCACCAGGGAGGGAGGGAGGGAGGGAAGAGGGGGTGCAGACGGAATCAAGGTCGAGTCAACCAACACCCCCAATTCTAAGTCTATAAAACACAAACAGGGCAGATCCAGGGCAACCAGCTGGGCACACAACCTGGAGCTTTGCAACAGGTTGCAATGCCAAACAACTAAAATACATAAAGTATAAAATATAAAAACCAAAGACTAAGCCGCAGAGAACAAGCAACCTGGGAGAACGTCAGGGATCCATCCCATATGCAGCTTGGTAAAGTGCAGGCTGTGTTAACCGCAGTGCACCCCCTCCAGCCAAAAACATCCCTAAACCTCGGTTAAGATAGAAAATGCAAGACCCCCAAGGGCCAGATTCAAGCAGCAGTTACGCAAGTACTTACGAATGTGTGCATCTTTCCTAAATCGTCGACGGCTTTGGTTACATTTATTAAACAGTTTTCAAGCATAAAAACTTGCCAATCAACTGTTATCATTATAAACAGCCTCCTGGTGCTTCGGAGCTCATCAACCGTTTAATAATTGTAAACAAAGCCGCCAAAGATTGAGAAAAGATGTACAGGTTCGTAAGTGCTTGCGTAACTGCTTCATGAATCTGGCCCCTGGCTTACAGCAAGGGCAAGGATCACCCCAAGCGAAGAGGCCCCATAATGGGAGCATTTCCCAAATACCCCAGGGAAGACTGAGTACTATCCTGACCGTACAAGGGAAGTACTCTGTGCACAGCGAAGGAAACTCTGAGCTCATGCAGCTCCCCCACACTATAACTCCTGGCTCATGTACACTCTCCTGTAAAACATTGCTGCAAAGGTAAGAAAAAGACTCAAAAACAGGACAGAGGAGCCAGAGCAACACTCTACCACCAGGTAAGCACATCAGTAAGGAACTGAAGCCGGAAGGCCGGGCTGGCACATCCCCCCCTTCCCCCAAGAAGGGGAAAAGGTGGAGCTAACTAGCAGGGGGCTAGTTTAACTAAGTTTTGGTTGTTTTCTTCAAATGTTCATTTGGCATTTTGGGGGCTTCAGTTTCATTTTTTAAAACCAGGCAATGGTTTTTGATTTGCTTATCTCTCTGAGAGCTTTCTTGGTGATGGGAAAATAACATCTAAATGTAAGGTGGTCATATGCCATTACTCCCTTTGCCTTTCTGAGGGGACCAGGTTCTGCCTTGTGGTTCCTGGTAGGCAAAAAGAACTCTGGAACTGATGACACTAGGTCCTATGGCACTTGATCAGTGATGATAGCTTCAGGGAGCTGATGGGGCTTCCCACAGAAAATAAACATTCTGTGGATACAAAGTGAATAAGGAAATGGGAAAAACCAGCAATGAATGTAATGATATGCCCATTTCTGGGTGAAACCTCATTACTCCCTGAACCTACAATGCTGATATAGTGCCAAACTACGTGCCATCAGTCACCAAGTTCTATTGGCCTACTGGGGACCATGAGCCAGAACCTATCCCCCTCTAAAGAGGTGCAGAGAGCAGTGGCACTGATAAAATTCAGTGAATTTTAATTGTCTGCTACCACTGGATAGGCACCCACTAAGTCTGTGAAATAAAACCTGCTGGTTTTATTTCAAATCCTCGTAAATTGGATTTACGAGGATTGGATCAGGGACACCAAAAGGGAGGGAACCTGCACGTGTAACTGCACCTGGCCGACATCACGAGGAAGGATGGGGGCGAACAAGCACCCATTGAGGTGCTCCAACTCGCCCCCTATGTAAACCTGAATGACCGTAGTCAACTCCCGTCATCTAAGCGTGCAGGTCTGACAGAACGAATGCCAAGCCCCCAACAAAAATAAAGGGCAGTCTGCCAGCCAGGAAGATTCCGGCATCTCGTAAAGCACCCAGTAAAGAAAAGAGGAGCCAAACTCAAAGGAAGGCTTTATATAGTAGAGGCGTAATCCAGATCTAGCAGGAGGTAAGCCACAAGGGCCTCCCGCACCTCCCTCAGTGGGATGCGGGAAGTCAAAAACCTTCGGAAGGAGGGAACCGAAGAACCCAAGGGAACCCAGACCCAAACCCCGGGGAAGAGTCGAACTTGTATCCAAATCGTACAGGGAGAGGGTGATGGGAAACCCCCTGCCCCTGTAACAAGAAGCCCCGCACCAAGAGTACCAACACTCAAGCGGGGGCAAACGGGGCCCAAGCACCCCAAGTCAACTCCTCCCTAGCCCTGGGATCCTCAAAGTCAGGACCTGAGGACAAGCCCTCCTCCAAACCCTCTGCTTCTGAAGAAAAAGCAAAGTCCACTGGAAAAGCAGGGATTAAGGGGGCTTGCTGGTGCGACCCAAAAACCTCCGGTAGGAGGAACAGGCTTGAACGTCTCCGCCACCGATCTGGAAGGGTCAATCCCCGAAGCCGCCAGTGTCTTACCATCAGGCAAACCCTGCCCCGACTCTGAAACCCTCAGACGTTTGGGAGCTAAAAGCAGGAGGGGGGGGGGGAGAGCAGGATGAACTACAGCTGGGGAAGGTGATATCTTCACATGAAAGAGGAAAACATGGTAATAATTACAGATGTTGGGAACATAAAGCCTGTACATACGCTCATTGAGGTCCAACGAGGCTGACCACCGACCTTCACCTGGACGACGCCCTCCACAGTTGTTAACTCCCAGGAACCTATTTACTGCTACATGAACAAACACTTTAAACAAGAGGAAATGTGTCCAACTGTATTTCTCGCGCCCGGGAGATGACCCTGGGTCCCTCAGTTGTGAAGCGAGTGTAGACCACTGTGCTCCACAACTACTGATAAAGTATGAATGTAATGGTAATAAGAGAAAGACAGCAGAGGTGTGTACTTACTGAAGATAATGCTGAGCATTAAGGTTACACAGCCCGAGTTCCTTAAGTATAGCAATCCTGTGTTCTGTAGAGAGTGGACTGCGGTACAGCAGCGGCAGCACTTTCTTCACATCTTCTGCACTTATTTTGTTCTCCTGTAACATTCAAACACATCAGGTACTCTACGATATTACAGCATCAACAAACACAGCAGGTACCATCCAGTATCAGTCTCAACAAGCACATCAGGAAAAGCCCAGTATTACAGCCTCAACAAACAGATCAGGTACAGTCCAGTATTACCGTCTCAACAAACGCATCTAATACTGTCCAGTATTACAGTCTCAACAAACACATCAGGTACAGCCCAGTATTGTATTACAATTGCAACAAACACATCAGGTACAGTCCATTATTACAGTCTTTACAAACACATCAGGTACAGTCCAGTATTACTCACCAAACAAATCAGCTACAGAAGCTTCAGCAGGAATGTGAGAATGTGCAACTGAGCTGAGCATTCCACTCCAATTAATATTGGATTAATATTTGTGACATCTTTGTGCACAGAAATCTTAACAGATAAATGGAAAAAGGCAAAAACCAAGCGTTGAATGTAATAAAACACCATTTTCTGGGTGAGACCAGGAGGCTTCCCAGAGCTATCCGGGCTGATATGAATGTATTGAACCCTGGCAATAGTCAAAGCGAATGGAGGTCTGCATACTGGGAACCACGAGCCAGAACCTGGCCTCTTTAGATGAGGCACGAGGAGCAATGGCCTATAGAAACCCCTGTGTGGTTGGAAGCATTCAATGTCTGCCATTGACCCGGTCAGGCACCCAGAAAGGTAGGCACCCCAAAACAAACCCCCTCTGGTTAAAAACTGCTATTGAAAGCCGAACTGTTGAACAGAACTCCCCAAACTAAAACAGGCAAATTAGCATGACATCACACCCATCACTGCACTGCTGTCTGCACAGCTTCCCCCTCCACCCCCAATTCAGAGGCTGGATGTCAAAACCTGCGAAAGTGCCAACCGGAGGGAGGGAGGAAGGGTTGCTGGGAACCCTCCAAGTCTCACCCAGAAAATGACATTTCATTACATTCAATACTGGTTTTCTGGGGGGGGGGGGGCCCTTCAGCTCCCAGGAGCTACTTAACCAAAGATAAAACAAGAGGAACTTACCCAGGAGGTGGTCGCCACTCGCTCCTGAACTTGAAGTCAAGACAACAGGCTGCAACTGCCGACTCAATGCGACACATACCCGACTAGGGCCAGGAACATTGACTAGGTAACAAGCAGCCAGAACCCTGTTCGACCTCCAAAAAACCCCATGCCTGAATGTCAGCCCAAGACATATTACCAAAGATGGCAGCCAAAGGAGCAGACTTACGAAAGTTATGGGCACGAGGATAGACCACAGGGTGGCTGGACCGAATAACCCCATGGACGGCCTGAGGGACACAAACCCTGGAACAGGGAAAAAGGGAAACCGGGTCAACCCAAAGTGTCACCGGCTACTGAGGCTGTGGCGTGCCGGTAACACCGAAGAGCCGCAACCAGACACAACATATGATGCACCCTAGGCCGGACCAACAAAGCATCAACAATCGAAGAACCTCTCCAGAAAGCAGCAGTCTCATTCATCACCAGAAAGGGAGGAGATGGCTGCAAACGAATAAACCTACAACCAGGACCAAAAGAGCAGAAACCTCTGTGCCAAAGAACATAAAGCTCCCCAACCCGACCACCCCAGAGGCCAATGCCAACAGGAAAAGAGCCTTCAAAAAACAATCTTGAACCGAAGGGGCCACAACAAACTAAGGAGAAAAGAGAAAAAAAGAGCACCGGTCCAACGACCAAGATGGCTCAGGCGGCGCATGAACAGACCGGAGGTAAATCAAAGCACAAGACACTTGCGAAATGGAGAAGTACTGTAACATCCACCCTGAACGCAAGCTGAAGCGGCTCCGTCAGCGTCGCACAATACGAGGCAACATTATTTGGCACAACACATGGTGGTCCTGAAAGGACAAGACAACCCAATCCGAAACAAAAGAAAACCTGCGGAGGGACAAGAAATAACGAAAGGACCACTAGGAAACTTCATACTGTTGCCAAGACGAAGCATGCAGGTGGGACGCCATCAAAGAAGCCACCTGCTCACCATGCAAATGGTGATAGACCCGCGTCAGAAAGACCAGACGTGAAGACTTGAGAAGATCGAACCAGCTATGTAAAAGACTGGCCCAATCTGCTGAAAGAGGCGGAGCCGCGGGAAGACCCCTGGGTTCGGATATCGAGCAAGCAGCGCCTGAAACCAAAGGGCCTACATGACTATTCTCCCTTGTTAAGTCTCCAAGCGAGCCAGGACCTGGAGCAACAATGGAACTGGGGGAAAGAGGTACAGGTAACCCCTCCTCAACCAGTCCTGCTTGAAGGCATCGAAGGGCGCCACATGGGTCAGGAGATGCCTCGACCAAGCCGACGTGAAGAGGTTCACCTCTGAGAGCCCATACGTCCGGCAGAGCAAACTGAATGAGTCGGTGTCAACAGTCTATTTCATGGACAGGGAAATGAACCATGACAGGCCGTCTGCCAGGACATTTGACACCCCCCGAACGTGAACGACCAGGAAAGCCAAACCCAGAGAACTCGGCAGACGAGTCATCTGAAGCGACCAGCCCCAAAGAGCCAAGGATCGCATCAAACCCCCATCCCCCCCCCCGGTTCAGGCAATGAACCACCGGAAAGCAGTTCAAATAGATCTGGATTGTCGAACCTCAAGCAACCCGAATCCTTCGAAGTGACATCCACACGGCTGCGAACTCCTGCACCGTGCTGTGGGCCAGACAGAAGAATGTGCCCGACTGCCTCTGGCCTACCTGATAAGTACTGGTCACAAAGCCGCATCCGTGAACACACAAAGTGAGGGCTTGGGTAGGTGCCAAGGCACTGACCCCCAAAAAACCTGAAGAGGAAGCCGGCGATGCAGCAGCCGATGTAAGGAGGCCGAACCCAGTGATCGCGAGAGAGGCGAAAGGGACGTCTCCGAAGGAATCAGAACAGCCAACATAGCCAAACCCGGCCTGGCGGGTAAACCAGCATGGCAAAGTTCAAACTCTCGCACAACTGCTCGAGCAACCACCGAGTGACCCGAGACCCACCCAGAAACAGCTGAATGCGAGACCGCAGCCGCAGTAATACCTCCGGAGGGAGAGACATGGAAGTGGTCCGAGTCCCAAACAAAACCCAGCCAGGTTCGAACCTGGGACAGAACCAAATGGGACTCCACCAGTTTACCAGAAACCCGAACCTGGTGAGATGGGAAAGAACCACACCCCTGGCAAAAAGACAAGCAGACCGACAAGAAGTCCACACCAGCCAGTCATCAAGGTAGGCCAGGACCCGAACCCCTAGCAGAAGCAGACAGGTCACCACAACCCTGGTAAGACAGGTGAATAAACGAGGTGCCAGATTCAAGCAAAAAAGGAAGGAAACGAAAGCAGCAAGCCTGACACCCCACCACGAAACCTAGCCAATCCCTGAATCCTGGATGAATAGGGTTGTGCCAATGTGTGTCCTTGAGGTCCATGGACACCATCCAGACACACACACTCTCAGGACCTAAGACAGTTTTCATCCAAAATTAGGGGCAAGGAATCCAGGGGTTCAGGCGGGACAAGTCCTGAATGAATGGCAGATCCGTACGTTCTTATTTCGGCACTAGGAACAGGCGGGAAACCCAATTGAGGGACGGGGTCATTTTGACCACGCCCAAGAACACCCACTCAAAGATGACCTGACGAAGTGCAGGGGAAGAAGCCTGCCCTGTCAGCCCCGAACCCCCCAAAGGAGGAGTCACCAAACGCCACCACAGGCCGGATGACACGACTGAAAACGCCCACAAATTGAGGGACCAAGCACGAGCAAACAGAGCGAGCCTCCCCCCATTGCCATGTCAACAGGCCGAATAGCAAAAGGGTCGACACTGCTTACAAGAAGCTGACCGACAAACAGAGCAATCACTTCGCTGACCAGGCAACGTCGGCTCCGAAGGCAGCGTTGGCTCAAAAGCTGGCACCAATGACCCACCTTGACCAGCAGAACCCTGAGACCTGGCACGACCCTTCTGAGAAGGCCATAAACGGCTGCCCCAGAGAACAAACACGTCCAACCTAGGACAACAACTAGACGAAGTCACCTGCAGAAACTGCATGACAGCAGACTTGGCAAACAACAACATACAAAACGACGACGAAAACCTAAGAGCCAGCGATCGGGCCGCGGGGACACTAAGCCCCGGAAGCACCTCAAGGTAGGGCCCAAGCGGTTTCCAGAGAGAGCGAGCAGTGCCTGATGGCACGCAACTCGAAAAGCAAAGAACAGAGACATCGCCTCCTTCAAGATTGGCACAAATTTCAACAGTGCGGCTGACGCCCAAGCTGCCGAAGCCAGCACACTAGACGAAGTGCCCCGCGAGGCCAGCGCGGCACTTAATGCCTCTACATCTTCAACCCAGACTGAATACAGCTCAAGAAGGGAAAAGAGAGACAAGACCGAAGCCAAATGCTCACGGGTGGGCAAATCTTCGGTAACCAAGGACGCTGAAAAGGCAGGAACCTGTACATGCAGCTGTACAAGGCCAATATCCTGAGAAAGCACAGGGGTGAACAAGCACGCATTGTCACTCAAACTCAACCCCCCCCCCCCCCCCAGATAAAACTGCAGAACGGTTGAAGTTTCTTGCAACTCAAGCGTGCGGGTCCAACAGAATCCTGTGAAGTGAGCAACCTCGGAGGTCCAGAAGAGGACTGCTCTACTGAACCCAGGTATCACTTAATAGGAACCCTGGTTTCTATTACTGCATGTTACGACCCTGGGTTCTCCAGTGGAAACCAGAGGTCAAAATTGAGCTATTAAACTTTCTGGTAGTACAGTTGGGCATCTAGAATGTCAATTGTTTGTATCTTCCCTGCCAGACGTAAGACTATTATTGTTTCTCAAAGAGCATTTAAAGACTGAGCTGGGGGTTGATTATTAAATAATAACATAGGCACCAACTTTGCTTACTAATACTTTCTAATCATTCATAAAGTAACAATACGTTGCATAGGGGAAGATCTTTAATGTGCTTAGCTGCACGATCAA